TCATATCTCAGTCGTTGTCGTCGAGTTCCACTAACGGCAGCCCCAAGAAGCGTGCAGCCTCTATGGGGTCAGTCCATAGGGACGACGCCGTTAGGGTTGTGGGGTTTTCCGGGCATGCGAAGAGATGTTTCGAGTCGTGTGGGGTCTCTCCGCATGCCGGACATTCGTTCGGCACATCCGCATTTAACCTAGACAGGTAGGAATTTAGCCTGCTGCAGTAGCCAGAGCGAAGTTGGGCTATTGTCGTTCTGGTCTCCCGAGGCAGATGGAGCTCCGTCATGTCGATGTCCGGTGTTTGTGTGCCTAGAACGGCATTCACAGGTCTTGAGTCTACATAACTCGAGACTGCGTCCCTGTGAATGCCGTTCAGGGCCTGTCTATGAGCTGTCGGGTCCAGAGGTTGCTTAATGAACCTCTGGACTTCGTCCGTCAGTTCATATAGATGCCTCCTGACGTGCCTCGGCGAGGGCTCCTCTGCAAGCAGCTGTCTATTTGGGTGGCCACATCTGTGGCTCCCAACAAGAAACTGCTTGCAGAGCATCGTGTTGTGCTCCCTAATTGGGAGCATTTTTGCCTCATCGTGGAGGTGGTGTTCTGGTGTCATCAGGAGGCATCCTGTCGCTGTCCTGAGTGCTGTATTTTGTACCGTCTGTAGCTTCGTCCACTGCGTCCTACTAGTCCCCAGGTTTTGCCGATTTTTTTTTAGTCTGACGTCATTAATGATAATAATTTATTATGTAATTATTTTTCATCCATAAATAATTCATTCATGGGCAGAAATACAGAATTTTTAACAAAGATTGCAATTACCTCAGAAACTATTTCGCAGATAATTTCATAAAGTTACATTTTTGTAGGAAAATAAATTTCCTGTAAAACGAGCAACTTATCTATAGTTTTTCACCCATAAATATTATAAGCAGGGAACGGATTTTTAGGACCTAAAACCTATAAAAAAGGCAAAATAAAATAACGAAATAGGCTGGAAAAGGCAAAATAAAATTTTTGTCATCACATGTGGAGGCCTCCCTTAATCTGGCCCTCGTATTACATAATTTGGTATATGCACATTTTTTGTAGGGAATTAAATCAATCGTAGTAAGCTAGCAACTTTTTTTGAACACTTTGAACTTTAATTGATATGGGCGGGCCTAAGGTATTGACCGAAAATTTGCATCTTTCGCACATACTTTTTTTTAGAGCAAAATGAACCACAATTTCGTACCTAACAATACAATAAAAATTTAAATAAATCGGATGTTCAGCCCGCCCTAAAGTATATTATCATTTATTTAGCGGAGCATAATTTAACTACATATGTATGAAAAGAGTACATTTATATTGGCTTTAAAAATTCTAACTTTAAGTACGAAAACTTATTTATTTTTTTGTTGGTAACCTTACAATTATATTAGATCTTGATTGCTCAACGTGGTTTATTTGATATGGTAAACGACAACAGTATTAAAAAAAAATCAAAAATAATAAAGATAAAAAATAAGTCAGGTCATTTATATATGTATGTAGGTATATAACTTGAAAAAGAATGAAAATTATAAAAAATATGAAATATGGAGCGCAACTAATAATTAAAATATGAAAATAGTTTACATGCATACGTCTGAAATATTAAGAATTTATTTGTGTATACATATAAGCTGTATGTATGTGTATGTTCGAGGAAAATACGTAGGCGTATGTGGATATGTAGTGATATGTTGCAATACAGTGCACT